ATTTAAATATTAGATATCACTTGTAATATAAGTATACAGCAGAGACTGATTACAAGGTAACTCATTCTTAGGGCTGTTACTAACAGTTAGCTTTTCAACTGATATTCTTGTGCTGACTTTTGTAGGTGATGTGCGGTGCTGTTGTGCTAACTTTTTGAAATGATTTGCTTAGCTGATTGACTTGTGGACTTCAAGAGGGTGATGGTTCACATGGGTTCACCCGGATGCGTGTACAACAGGCGTGGCTATAAGGATAAAAAATAAAAGATCATTCAGCCTGGCTGTTCTAGATTGGTGTCAGATATTATCCCTGACCTTTCCATCTCCAGAGTATTGTTCAATGTTCAATTGAAGTGAATGTACTAATGATGTTAATATTTCATTTCTTATATATAAAACTATTCACAGCCATAAAATATACAGATCATTCTCTTCCTAATTTTAAGTAATACTCCTTCAGGATATAAATCATTTATCTTTCTTTTTTTAAGAACAACAATCATATGTTTTATTCAATTGAGTTCAAAAATATGTATATGAATCAAATCCTAAAGCCGTGTTTGGGTTGAAGGTTTACTCAAGTTCAATTATGGTCTACCACCAAAAAGTTCATCCAGCACAGCTAATAACTTGAATTTGAAGAGGTATCACAAAGAAAAAGGCAAGCTTTTCTAGCTTTTGGGGATTCATGGATCAAAAACCAATTTGCATATATAACACATTGAACTGGTATTCTTCTCTCTATGCAATTAAATGGAAAATAATCTAACTCAAAAATAAGTCAAGCAACTAACAAAAATAAAAATGATCACATCCACAAAATCAAGACACTAGATTTTTTAATGTGATAATTACTTTAGTGGAAAAAACCACAGAATCTAATCCAATAAGACACACACACTTTAAAAATAGCATTATTACAAAGTTTCCTCTACTTTAGGAAACGCTAGAGGTTGTACACAACAATAAGTCATTAAGAATAAAATTGTTGGATCACTAATGTATTAATCATCACCAAAATAAATCTAGAAGTCAAAATCCCCAATCAAATTGGGAATCTCATAAAGTGTGCTGATTGTGTACCAAGAGGAATTGGAGACCAAATCACTGTTGACATCGAGTAGAACGATGACTCCTCTACTAACCTTCCTGTTGCTGTTGCAACTCACTCTCATAGTCTCTGCACTATTTTTGCAATGTTGATCAAAACCAGCCACCAGCTGTTATTCAAAGCTCCACTGACTTGTTACATCCAAAGTCCCAGCTCCATGCAGTTTATGTATGCGTTCATGAAGAGTTTTCTTAACACCAGATGGATGGATAGATACAACACAAGAATCCTAAAGAAATAAGAAACTAAAATGGGTAGTTAACATAGTTGAGTATGGCATAAATTAGCCTAATAATAAGTTCTCCTACAACTAACGACTTGATTTAAAATTTTAAAATTTGCGCATGTTAAAAGATTAAAATGTGACAAATGACAATGCACCTCGAAATGATTTGTACATAATGCTGCCTCGAAGCTTTACTCCATCCACCTTTATATATATCCTCGAATTGTCCTTGATTTAGGGAATTGATCAAGGGAAGTTACTAGAGAAACTCAAAGAAAATCCATGTCTTGCAAAAATGAATTAAAGCTTAGCATTATCTTGATGATGAAATGATAGAGAATTACTCCGAACAATCGAGGGACGAGAAAGCGAACCCTGCCTTACCAGAGAGGGCATTCTTTGGAGGGTAGAAGATTATAGCTGCAAGCCAGCAACTACAATAGATTTGTGAACACCACCATTCTTGAAGCTACTTTCCAAGTCAGCCCATTGTTAGGTAAAGCAGTGGATAAAGCAGCAGTGTTTGTGCTGCAATCTTGGATGTGACTTAGGATGAATACAGAGGGAACACAGTACACAGTTGGATCATTCATTTCTTACTCATCATACTGGAAGCAGCATCTCCCATATGAAAGGCAACATTAATGTCAAAGCATCTAGGACCTACTTGTTGAAGAAATATCTTGCCTAAAAAGGGGGGCTTGAACTTGGAATCTTAGATAAACCTTTTAATTAATCCTATAGTTGACTTGAAAAAGGTAAAGGGTTTAATCAGATGCTATAAGATTTAAAACATGAACTAAGTTGGACGTTACATGGTAGTAAGGAAGCAATCACTAAAATTATGGGAAATGTGAGATAAATAAGATGGGAATTGAGGCAAGCAAGGGAACTCGTGTGGGAGACTAACTTCTTGATCTCCATGCATTGGAATCAAAATTAAGATAAGAAAATGGTCATACAAATAGCTGGTAAAACAAATACCGGACAACAAAAATCAATTAGAATAGAAATGAGCAAGCACATGACATTTTTTTTTTTCTCAGCAAATGAAATATCAAACAGGGTACAAGCAGTACCCCCACAATTTAGAGTATGCTCATAACTTCTGGGACATGAAGGGAAAAAGGGAGTAAGAAAACAAAGGGATCCTACATAGGCCTAACAAGATTTTGCTTTGTGCTCTGCACAAGCAACTGGGAACACGAAAAAAAAGATGGGAAATTAGAAAAATCAAAGGCTAGACTGAAATTTGAGAGAATAATTCATTTAGAGTTTTAAGAAAACAAAAAGTATCAATTGTAACATAGAAAGGAAAGATGGATAAGTGAATTGCCGAAATGAAATTAAAGTAAAATAATAACACAAAGGTACAGAAATCTATAAGTTCTTGAAAAAAAAATTTTAAAATTACAGAATATATGACAAAAATTTAGACAGTCTTTAACGCAACCAATATATATTAATCAAGAGAAGGAAGGAACAAGAAATAATAATTTAATTCTAAGGCAACTAACATCACAGATAGTAGAGGAATAGACTAGTATATCATCATCAAAATGTATAACTTTGCTCAAGTAAAATGAAGTATAGAGATTGCCTAACATATCAGTTTTGATTCCTTGTCCTAAACAATAAAAATAGCAAACCAAATAGGCATCACAATACAATTTTGAAGAGGTAATTTAGATCCTTACAAGATAAGTTCTGCTTTCCTGAATGAAAAACTTGTAAACCTGCAACTTTATTTAGTCAAATTACAAGCTTGCTTAATTCAGCAGAGGTCATCCACATTCCAGTTCTAGCTTACAGAAAAACCTCATTTCAACATCAACAACTCCTTGTTTCAAAAATCTTCCCAATTCTTCAGAATGGAAAACATTAGCTCCTGCAGTAATTGAATTTAAAATTGAAATTTGTTGGCTTGCCTAAAAACATCATTTTGCAAGCAGCGAGCTCGTTGGTGGTTGTGAATTTCCATAATGCCAAGGCCAACCACTCATCCCCTTTCAAAATAATCTGAAAGCGTAACTGCGTAAACCATTTTTGAGGCAACTGAAGGCATGCATGTTTTCAAAGGAAAATAAATTTATATATGGTGGATAATAAATAGTAAATAATAATATAAAGTTGATTAATCCAGGGAATGAATGAAGTACCAGTAACATTGAGGAGTGACTTGGCTTTGTTTACCTCAACAATTGGTTGTACCTAGCTCACTGTTGGATTTTTGAGGGTAAGAAGGGAGGGATTGAGAGAGGACTTGGAGGAGAGGTAGAGATACCTGGAGTTTCCTCTTTTGGTGAGGTCAGAACCCATTTTCTTCCATTGATATTCTGCTATTTATGGCAGAAACAACACAACATAACATAGAACATAAAAGCCATAAACATGGAAGGGTGCAGACATTCACCCAACCGGAGAGGAGAAACCATGCTCTCTTTCTCTCAATTTTCATCAATTTCTTCCTTCCTTTTTATGGAGGAAGACTACACATAAAACAATAATATTTTTCTACCTAAACTAT